AAAAAAAAAAAAAAAAAAAAAAAAAAAAAAAAAAAAAAACGGTTGAGGGGCAAAAAGGACATTTTACCCCTCAGCCCATTATAGGGGTCTTGAGCGTCCTCCTCAGATTACCTGCAAAAGAAGAAGAGTGAGAGAGAAGAACTGAGAGAAAGTTTGAGAGAGAAAACTGGTTTGCCGGAGTTTTCGTCGGAGAGTCGCCGACGGAATCCATTTCCTACCAAGACCTGTACTCTGGAGCCCTTCTTGGAGTGAAGTAAGAACTCGTGTGGAGATTTCCTCCTCCTTCCTCAAGATCAGAAAGAAAACCCGCAAAGTAAGATTTCGAACTATACCTTCCAGATCTTAGATCTTTGTTTAGGAGTAGAATGGTTAAGTCTACTACCTTTGTCCAGGGAGGATTCGCTACCGATCTTGGTGAGGGAAACGGACGAAACGACGAGATCTGAAAGACTATCCAAGAACGGTAAGGTTGTTACCGAACCTCTTTTCGACGCTCGAAACTCATCGTGTGACTAAGCAAAAATCAAGAAAATAATATTGGCACGTAGGTTGATAGATGATCTATAACTTTGTTGAAGAAACCACCTCTGTTTGGGTTAAGAATCGAAAGATAGAAAATGGAAAGAAACCTCGGAAAAACTAATCGGAAGCCTTGATTTTCTGGTAGGAGGAGAGAGAAGCCGCCGGCGTGCCACGCGTCAACCAACCAGAGGGCCGCGTGCGCCAATCGCCCCCGGACACGCGTCGAGCGCCGCCTGGGAAAACGCGGCTCCAGCTCTCCGCGACACGCGTCCCTGGCTCCGCGACCCGACCCGCGCTCCTTGGCTGACCCGATACCCGCACGGCGAACCGGACCAAGCCGACGACCCGCGGTCCACCCGAATCACCGCTTCCGACCCGGACCCGCGACCCGCGACCCGCGACTGCAGAAATCCCTAGGCGCGTGACACTCGCGCGTGGGATCTGCGAGTGGCTGCTCCCCAGCGCGTGACTGGCGCGTGGAGGCGCGTGTAAGCTGTTTTTGGCCCGATCGGCTTCTGTTTTCCCTAGTTTCCCCTGATTCATATCCTAACTCCATTTGTTTGTATGAAATAGGACCTTATTGAGGAAAAATCACCCCCTCTCGTTACGCCAAGTGTGTGGAAACGCTGCGTAAGGGCACGTAGCATCCAAGTAAGTCGCCACACGGAATTTAGGAAGTAATACTTGTAGGAACCGCTTGGGATGCATGCATGCTAGTCTGAATATTTTAGGTTGTAGCTTTCCCGTTAATGTTCGTAGGAAATAGTTTATTGAACGTAAGATGTATGCTGTGATTTGTTATGAGAGTTACTTGGATATTGCTTATATGCTCTTAATTCCCATTTTATTTTATGCATATGTATATCTTTTTGCTGAATGGAGAATGGAAAATTTGCGAACTCTGTGCTCCGGGAATTGATGGATGTTATCACCCCGTCGAGCTTGTATGATTACTTTGCATGAAATATGTTTGAGGTTTTTGGATAATAGTTATGTACGTACTCGGTTATTTTTAGGGCCACCTTTATGAATAAGACTAGAAGACAATGGTTAGAGCGACAAACCATCAAGGGATAGACTTAACCTTTCCCTATTAGTTTATCAGACCATCACGGCACATGAAACATCCTTAGAGTACCCTTAAGCTACTTGTGTGTGGATGGTGATATAGCTTCGTGGGGGACCAGCGGGTTCCTGATCAGGACTCGACTGCTCGATAGCCGTTTAGTATGGGAAACGGGATACCCACGTCGTAATTGACCGTTTAGCTGGATGGAATAGGGGAGGTAGCCCTCCCAAATACAGGGGGATTATCATGGGTCTAGGGGGTTGCAGCTCACTTCCTAGGCAAGACCCCAGATAATCTCATACCCATGCCGAGGTAGCCACTCGTAAGGCACCAGTCCAACACAGGTTAGCATAAAAGGAACTCTATGGGTTTAAATAAAAGGTCTAGGAACCAAAGAGGTCCAAAGGGATAAGTTCCAAGAGAGAAAGCCCTAATGGGGTAAGGCCCGATTTCAGTTGTTCTAGAGCCAAAGGAAAGCCCGTGATCGTCTGCTAAGTTTAGGGTGCGGTAAGAGCCTACAAGTAGGTGGCTTACTGAGTATAATTTTTATACTCATTCCCTTTGTACTTTTTTTTTCAGGTACGTGAGGCGTCGAGTCAAGAGAGGGCGCGTCGATCGATGTGGGTTGTCACAGAGGAAGCGTGTCCCGGGGCGTCAGTCTAGTTTACTAAATAGTACACTTTGTCTCACATGTTCCTTTCCTTGTTTTTCTTTTACCTAGGCACTTATGTCCTTCTAATAAAGATACGTTTTTCTTTTGAAACAAATGATTTCCTTGAATTTCTCGTTTATGCATTACATGTCATACAATGTTAGTCACGGCTTAATTTGGGGTCGTGACACAGTTCCTCTTAGAGAGCTCCGCGATTCAGTTTATACAGATAAAGTAGACAGATTATGATCCAAATTTCCGTTTCATCCTCCTATTGCTGCCTGAATAAGTGAAAACTGAGGTAAAACTTGAATATCTGAATTAGAACCAAGGAGTTAATCATGCTAACTAGCCGAGAGATCTTCAATGTCTTTCCTTATCATTGTTTGTTCTTCGAAATCACTTAAAACTATGCACTGCAGCAATTGACTCAGATTTTGCAATCTTTCTGCAGCAAGTTTTGTCCAACTTCAAATTGCAATGCATGAAACCCGTCGATTACTTACAAAACTATCTAAAAGTTTATTGGAGTATTTAACACGTTTACACAAATGTATTTATCTTAAAAAAAAAGCAAATAAATCTTGGTCTTTATTTGGATTGGAGGTGTACAAATTGTAAAGGATTGAAGATTATAACAGAGGCTATCAACAGAGAGCATTGTTGCCTTCAATTGTATTTATGATAGGATATTACATGAGAATTGTTGGGAGGGAGTCTCACATCACCTAATTTAGAGAATGATCATGAGTTTATAAATAAGGAATACATCTCCATTGGTATGAAGCCTTTTAGGAAAATCAAAACCACGAGAGCTTATGTTCAAAGTGGACAATATCATACCACTATTGAGATTCGTGGTTCCTAACATAGTATTAGAGTCATGCCCTTAACTTATTCATGTCAATAGAATCCTCAAATGTTGAACAAAGAAGTTGTGGGTCGAACAAAAAGTGTACTTTGTTTGAGGGCTCCAGAGAAAGGAGTCGAACCTCAATTAAGGGGAGGCTGTTCGAGGGCTCTACAGGTCTCAGGGGAGGCTCTATGACGTACTTTGTTCGAGGGGAGGATTGTTGAGAATTGTTGGGAGGGAGTCCCACATTGGTTAATACATCTTCATTGCTATGTGGCTTCGTGGGGAAACCAAAAGCAAAACCATGAAAGCTTATACTCAAAGTGGACAATATCATACCAAAGGAATATGTCTCCATTGCCATGTGGCTTCTTGGGGAAACCAAAAGCAAAACCATGAGAGCTTCTATTCAAAGTGGACAATATCATACTACTGTGGAGATTCATGGTTCCTAACATTACAACCATCTTTCTTGCTACTATTCTGACAAAGAACGAGAAAAATAAATCTTTTCTAGAAAGGAAAGTGTAAAAACAGAGTGAATACACAGGTAGAAGAATGGTTTAACTTACAAGAGAAACTGTAAAACGTATCCTATCACAAGGTAATAAAAAATCCCTTAGAATAGGTCTCGGAAGAAGTAGCTACGAAAAAAACTAGAAAAATCCCTTTTGCTTGAGCTCCAATGGTCTCTTGCCTATTAACATAAAGTCTCTTAAATGAGTAATAGAGGATTGGAGAGTGTGAGAGAGCCTTCTTTCGAAAGTGTCATCTCTTTCTCTCTGTCCAATTGTTTGCCTGAGTTTTAAGCTTACCCGAACTGACATGGTTCCTAATTTTCAGAAACAAGTAACACAACGTGCATTTTCGACATACCGAAAGTGAATCAAGCAACAAGTCCATTCCAAACATCGATTCACTGAATGACCAAAACTAAAAAGGCACTCCCCACTCACTCATCCGCCAAACAAGTCATATACGATTTCACTAAACTCAATAACATTAAATGATTTCATAATGACCAGGAGTGGAAAGTTAAACTATGTAAATTTTACAAATAATTTTCGCAAACTTTCTGACCTCGTGAAAAACTTCGAGATTCTGATCCAAAAACACGAACGTCTCCTCCGCCTCATCGCTCGGTTTAGAGACTGATTCTCCCTCTATTCACTTGTCTCTGCACCTACATGATGTAACGTCGAAATGAATATCGGCTAAGAGTTTACCACGCAAGCAGAGGATGATAGAAGATGAGGTTCCAGATATGGATGAGTAGCAACAATAAGGAAGAACTCGACCTGGTACTTCGTCTGGCGCCAAGAACGATTCGATTGCCCAATACAGCGATGGGTGGCCTTTTCTTGGCGTCTTCGAGTTCCCGCGCATTGGATTATTATAGTGGCGGCTATGGGCCGCCCCGCTGCTGGGCTTCGATCATGGGCCAAATGGACTAAATAGCCACAGTAGATTGTTATTATTTTTGTTCTCAAAATTTGACCGCGGCCGATGGCGGGAAGGGGCTGAAGGCGGGTGGAAATAACCGCCCGTTCACGCTACCCGCAAAAAAAGTTCAAAATCTCCCGCGTTTTCCATTGCCCCTTTAAATCACTTCTTCTTCCCTCCGATTTGGATCTTACGAAAATCTCCCATTCCCTTTCCCTCCGATTCCAATCGCCGATCCTCTCTTTCTCCGCTTCTTCAATCTGCATCTGCAACCTCGAGCTTCTGTATCCTTTCGCGGTTCTCCTGTTTCTTCCCCTTCAACGACAATGGGGAAGCAAACCAAATCCAGAAGATCTGAGAGCGCTAGCAAGGGGACTGCCAACGTTACCCCTATGCAGGTCGCCTTCATTGTTGATAGATATCTCTCCAACAACAATTACGCCGAAACGCGCTCTGTTTTTAGAGTAGAAGCTTCATCACTCATTGCAAACTCTCCGATCCAAGAGGTACCTGTTTTTTCCTTTTTTGAGATCTGGATTTTCCCGCCATTAGTTAGTTTTTGTTTTTTCTTACCCTAGTCGTCGCATGAATTTTAATTCTTTTGGTCTTCAGGCTCCGAAGAGCTTGCTGAGCTTAGAGGCTATGTTGGATGAATACATCTGTTTGAAAGAACAAAGGGTAATTCTAGATCAAGAAAGAATCTATCTAGAACAAGAGAAGATTCGCGTTCACACTCTTCTCCAGGGTATGCAGACTGTCATGAGTGCTTATAATGTCAGTGGAAGGTCCTCGGCGCCGTCGATTTCAGCTGCTCCAGATAAAGTTGCAACTGTTAGTCAATCTGGTCCTTCTGAATCTCCTACAGGTACTGTCCTAAATCTTTCTGGATTAGATGAAACATATATTTTCTGTAATACCGAAAAATCATCAGAGATGAAAGAAAGACAAGCTTAATGAGACTCAACTCCTTATGAATTAGCAGCTTTACATACAAGAGTCAGGTTGGTTAAATGCTGGTATAGTAATTATATATTCTGAACAATAGGGCCCGGCCCAGAAATTATGTACTAGGGGGGAAGAAAGGGCCGGCTTCGCTCCTTCACCGTACGGTTTCATTGCTCCGCGACGTAACCTCTTGGTCGAGTGGCTTTCTTACCCCTACAGAATGAAAAAGAAAGAGGCTTTCCGCATGTTAATAATTTTGTTCAGGTCGATCAGAAGGCGCGGAAATAGCTAGACCCCTCTTAAATTGGCTTACTCAATTGCCGTAGTACTGAATACAGAAAATAAATGATCTCTGAACTCTGTCGGAGTAAAATCCTGCGTTTAGTCTTATACTTCATCATCAACTTAGACTGCAATCCAGTTCTTGTTAGTAGCATGTAGTTCTTCGCTTTTCCTGGAAATATGGGGGACTGGGTTTCTCCACAATTTTTCTTGGTCGTTATAAGTAAATTTCTTAGCAGCATTTTGAAATATTTCTGAGCGTTTGCAACTTCTGGTGCATTATATACATAGTTGAACAGTCTGAAAATGCTAGTATTTGGCGTTTGGTAAGGTTATTGTAAGTTCAAGAGTTTTATGTAAAGGGTATTGAGATTTACTTCTCTCAGGTATCCCCGTAAACATTAAACAACCTGTTCGTTCAGAGGTCACACCTCAGAATACAAATGGCGGGCCTCAAAGTTTCACAACTCCCGTTATTACTGGCACAGAAGCAAGTAAAAGAAAGAGCTCCAAGACTTCCACTGCTGTTCCTCCAGCTGCTAAGAGATCTCGAAATAAATTATCTTCCAGGAAATCAGCAAACAAAGGCAAGCTTTCTTTACGAAATGTTTGTGGTATTATATGATTGATTGAGGCGCGTCTGTTTTCAATCATATCTAATATAATTCATGTCCGTTACAGATACTGATGCACTTTCCCAATCAACTGAAGCTGCCAATGTTCAATCAAGGATTCAGCATTCTAACGAAATTCAGTCATCATCTCCTAGCTGCCCTCCCGATGAATCTGTAGTTCAAGGATCAAGTGTTGTAAAATGTTTGTTCAACCAGCCTTCATTCTCTATTCCAACTAATTCTTCTGGTCCGAAGACTCCTCCTCGTGCAAATTCCTGTCAAAGTGACAAGTCTACATCTCCACATGAGATTTCTTCTGCTGCTGATTGCAGTAACAACAATACTCCACAAGACGTTAGTCCTACTTGTTGCACTGTAATTTCATCAAAAAGGGTTACAATCAGTCCTTACAAGCAAGTAGCTTACTATTCTGTGGAGAGGAACCATAGCATTTTATCTCCCTCCCCTGTCAAGACAAACGCTAAAAGGATGGGTAAGAGAGATCACGTGAAGGGACGGCTAGACTTTGATGTTTCAGATGTACCCATGAGTTCTGACAAGGGGATTGAAAATGAAATTTGTGTAACCGAATCAGAAAAGCAGCTAGACATTTTTGACATAGATTTGCCTTGTCTAGATGTTTTTGGAGCAGATTTCTCTTTCAATGAAATGTTGGCTGATTGGGATATGGATTGTGAAGTAACTGGTTGTTCATCCGTCCCAACCTTGGGTGCTTCAACAGACACTCTTTCTGGGTAATTCTTTGCTCACCACGCTGCAATTTCCACTCGCTACTTTCTAGCTCTTATTCTGATAATTTGTTCAATGTTTTTCTCTCCCAGTTCTCATGAATCAATGGACTGTTACGTGGAGACTAATCAGATGATGTCAGAATATTCATCTACGGTGACACAGATTTTATCTGGAAAAGAGACAAACACAGAAGGTAATGCTGTTCATCTTCTAAACCTCGTGAAGTTCCATAGAGCAATGTGCAGGTTCATGAACAAATTTTACTAATGCAGGCATAGATTCATTA